GGTGGGGGGGGGGTAGTTTACCTGTCAACCCGTCTGTGCACATTACTGCACCAGTGATCCTAGAACTACAACCGTGTGCCACGTGTGGACTACAAACCCCAGTACAAATGAAGGGTCTAAACATTTAAATGATTTCTGAAAAGGTTCTAATATTTTATACTGAAAAATGTATTTGTCTAAAGTGGCATTCCCTGAATTCTTCTTTTTATTTTTTTTTTAATTCTTACACAATAATATTTTAATTAACTTGAGTGAAACTAATCACTGGAGGAAGGGTTGGGCAGGTGAGTGTGAATGAAGGGGGCGGAGCCTAACAGCTACACTAGGAAAGAGTCTATGAGCTACAGCTTCTGGATCACAGGTACACACACACACACACACACACACACACTCACACTCACACACACACACTCACACGACAGAAGTGAGTGTAATCTTAATCTGTGTTAATAAGCAGCAGACGTTAATGAAGTCAATTTACAAATGTTAATAATGAACAGCAGAGGTCGACCTCTGACCCCCTCGCCCACTCCCCCCCATACTCCCATTCACTTGGTCTCAGTCCACATTTTGACTTGAAACTCCCCCTTCTTGTTCTTCACCCCCCCTCCCCCCCGCCCCCCCCGCTGTCATCTATATTACATGAGGTTCAGAGAGAGGAGAGCGTGAGTGAAACGTCAGGGCAAAACCAGAGAAGAATGCAACAAGAAAGGAGGCGGTGGCGGGGGGTAGAGGGAGGGGGGCAGAAATGCAGAGGTACTTATAAAGATTAAAGTCATGTTTAAGTGCAGGATGGTTGGATGGAAGAGAGGGAGTTGGGGGGAGGAGGGAGGAGGAGATGAGTAAAAGGGAAGGAGTTGCATTAGTTGTTATTGTTGTTCTGTTTTTTTTCTCCCCCTCTTGTCTCCCTCTCAAGTCCATGTCCATCTGTAGCGACGGCTAAGTTCAGTAGAAGAAGTACACTGTGGATGAAGCACAGAGGAGGTCAGAGTCTCAGCTGAGGAGGAGCTGAGGAGGAGCTGATCTGAGAACATGCTCCGAAATATATATAATCAGGAGGAGAGAGAATTATTGGTTAATTAAACGGTTGAATTGTCTACTCACAGAAGATTATTCCGACCACGATGACTCCGATGATGCCCATCATGATCATCATCTGAACACACACAAAAACTCCATTAGTGTCTATTTGGCAGTAACACACACAAACACACACACACGTTTTAAACCTCAGTGAGGAGATTTAAAACATTCCTCTTTAATCATAAAAATACCAAAGTTGTTTTGTTTTCTGTTCTTTGTCTCCAGGTTCTTAGTCTCAGACTGAAATACAGTTCCTTAAAATGTTCTTTCAGAAAAAAATCTTTGGAAAAACCTAAATGTTCATATTTGCTCTGATTTGTTGTTTCTCTTATGGAAGTACCAACATATGACCAGAAGAGGGCAGCAGACACAACAAAATGCCTTCGCTACATTTAATCCATCAACCCAATACTATTGTTTAATTTAAATTTATATATATTCAAATTAATTAATGACAAACATCTTTATATTTATATTTTACACGAAATTAACTCCAAACACTACCGACAGTGACAGCGACCTCTGCTGTACAAAAATCCCGAATTTCACGAGGAATCATCGACGTTTAAATTGTTTTAATTAAGATTTAAACACAACTTTTTTTATTGTAAAATATAAATGAACAGCAGTGAAATTCTTGTTTAACTATATAGACAGTCTAATAGACTAATGCACCGATGCCCCCACCGATACCCCCACCGGTGCCTCCTCCGCCGGTGCCTCCACCCACCTTGCAGTTCTTCCACCAGTACTTGTTCTTTAGTTTGGCTGCGCAGCTTTCGAACTGGGAGGCTCCGGCCTGGAGAGCATCTGCCCTGTCATCCAGCTCTGAGAGCTTCTGGTCTCTTTCCAAAACCTTGTCCACGTTTACCCGCATGATGTCCACCACCTAACATGGAGGAGGAGGAGGAGGAAGAAGAAGAAGAATTTGGAACAGTGGAGACGAGAAAACAACAATAATTAATCATTTTTCAGGTTTATCCCTTATTAAAAGTTTCAGCTGCCGGTGTTTTTTCACGTCACATCTCCAACTCGCGGACGTCAGACGAGACCAGAGATGACGTAGTGTGAAGGGACTCACCTCCTCCACCTGGGCCTGTGTCTGCTGTAGCCTGCGGTTGCTGCTGGTGTTCGGGGGCCCCGCTGGTTGTCCACCTGGGGCTCCATCTGCACCGGGGGCTCCTGGAGCTCCCGGGGCTGCTGCTGGGGCTGCGGCATCTGGGGCAGACCTGCGATGGACCGAGTGGAGAAAAGTTGAGGAGCCGGAACGTCTGTGACGTCTGTGACTTTTCAGACTGAGGTAGTCTGCCAACACCAGTGACGGAGCAGACACATCCGGTCAGCCGCTACACCTCAGTTCTCTGACATGGGGGGTCATGAGGCGCGCGGAGGGGAGGGGCCAGGGGTGCACATTCAAATTTACACCTATGGTCAATTTAGAATAACCACTTAATCTAATGTATATTTATGAACAATGAGAGAAAGAAAGAAAACCACCAGGAATCGAACACGAGACCTTTCTGCTGTAAGGCAAGAGCACTTACCGCGCTTCCGGCATGTAGCCAGGGACAGATACAGATTTTGGCTGCGGTAAAAAACGATGTTATGTCATCTCTGTTAAATTGAATAATAAAATAGAATAAAAGAGCAAGAAGAAGAACAATCAGGTCGGAGAAAGTCCGGGATTCAAACCCAGATGTTCAGAGACAGAGGTGGACAAAGAAGAACAGATCAAAGAAGTGACGTGCTGCAGAAGAAGAAGAAGAAGAAACGGGAACAGAGGGTAGAAATGAAGCAGAAGCAGCGGCCACAGGGGGCAGCACTGACTCAGCTGCACCGCACGTTCAGCTGAACATTTCTGTCACTGCAGAAAAAACAAACCCAGAAACGAGTGGAACTCAGCAGTGAGACTGGACCCGAGTCTGATCCGGAATAAAGTTTAATCCATTTGGATTAAAAAAATAAAAATGTTTCTTTCAAAAACCGCGTCGTTGTGACGCAAAAAGTTGATTTTCTGAGCAGTTACATGAAGAAAAGTGGAATATACAAATATATAAACGTAGAATTAAGGTAACTGAAGTATCAATTGTAAGAAACGTTTTTCTTTTTAACAGTATTTTCCATTTTCAGGACGACGACATCGATCTTTAGTGAATGATTTAGTGAAGCAGAGGAATTCACTGAGGTCAGCAGAAAATCACTGAAGCTGAAAGAAATGTTCTCACGTGAAAAACAGGAAAGGAACACAAGCGCACACGGAATCACACCGGCAACCGAGCTGCGGGTGGATTTTCACCAACACAGATTTGGATGAGGAGGAAAAGGCGCAGCAGAAAAGTCGCAGTAATACTCACATCTTCTCTGCAGCGGCTGGAAGTGACGCACGGAGCAGCGGTGGAGGGAGCAGGAGGAGGAGGAGGAGGAGGGAGGGTCTGAGGTGGAAGAGAAGGACGGGGGGTAACGACGGATCACTGGAGGAGGCGGAGGAGGAGGAGAGAGATGGGAGTTTGTGCGCACCGGTCCCGGATGAAGTCTGGTTTTCAGAGAGACAGAAGTGGAGTCAGGTCTGGAGGGAGGTGCAGCGCTGCTCCTCCTGCGGTCATTTATTATTGAAATAATGCCCGTGGTCAGCAAAGTCCCTCCGTGACTGACAGGCGTCGCTGTGCGCTGAGAAGCGGCGGTGGCAAAATATATTTTTTAAAGTCTGATTTATAATCCAGCCCAGAGACAGGGGGCTCTCCTCCCGCGGACGGAGGTGCAGCTCGGACTCCTGCTCTCAGAGAAGGTCCAGTCAGGAGGGTTCCTCCTCCGCCGTGGCTCTGCACGCTGCTGCAATAATGCGTCTCCGCTCCTGCCTCCTCCACTTGGACTCGTAATGACAGTGCGGCTCTGCCTCCTCCCCTCCTCCTCGCCCCTCCCCCCTCCCCCCTCACTCTTTGCAGTACCGCAGCCCTCTCTGTGCAGGATGGGGGGGCTGGACGACACTGCGGTACACTGTGTGATGCTTACATAGTGTTGAATCGACTCTTTCCTCCCTGGCCTGGGAATCTCCCAGCTCTCCCCCCTCCTCCTCCTCCTCCTTCCCTCTTCTCCCCTTTCTACTCACATCCTCCCGGATCAAGTGACGTGCTGCAGAAGAAGAAGAAGAAGAAGAAACGGGAACAGAGGGTAGAAATGAAGCAGAAGCAGCGGCCACAGGGGGCAGCACTGACTCAGCTGCACCGCACGTTCAGCTGAACATTTCTGTCACTGCAGAAAAAACAAACCCAGAAACGAGTGGAACTCAGCAGTGAGACTGGACCCGAGTCTGATCCGGAATAAAGTTTAATCCATTTGGATTAAAAAAAATAAAAATGTTTCTTTCAAAAACCGCGTCGTTGTGACGCAAAAAGTTGATTTTCTGAGCAGTTACATGAAGAAAATTGGAATATACAAATATATAAACGTAGAATTAAGGTAACTGAAGTATCAATTGTAAGAAACGTTTTTCTTTTTAACAGTATTTTCCATTTTCAGGACGACGACATCGATCTTTAGTGAATGATTTAGTGAAGCAGAGGAATTCACTGAGGTCAGCAGAAAATCACTGAAGCTGAAAGAAATGTTCTCACGTGAAAAACAGGAAAGGAACACAAGCGCACACGGAATCACACCGGCAACCGAGCTGCGGGTGGATTTTCACCAACACAGATTTGGATGAGGAGGAAAAGGCGCAGCAGAAAAGTCGCAGTAATACTCACATCTTCTCTGCAGCGGCTGGAAGTGACGCACGGAGCAGCGGTGGAGGGAGCAGGAGGAGGAGGAGGAGGAGGGAGGGTCTGAGGTGGAAGAGAAGGACGGGGGGTAACAACGGATCACTGGAGGAGGCGGAGGAGGAGGAGAGAGATGGGAGTTTGTGCGCACCGGTCCCGGATGAAGTCTGGTTTTCAGAGAGACAGAAGTGGAGTCAGGTCTGGAGGGAGGTGCAGCGCTGCTCCTCCTGCGGTCATTTATTATTGAAATAATGCCCGTGGTCAGCAAAGTCCCTCCGTGACTGACAGGCGTCGCTGTGCGCTGAGAAGCGGCGGTGGCAAAATATATTTTTTAAAGTCTGATTTATAATCCAGCCCAGAGACAGGGGGCTCTCCTCCCGCGGACGGAGGTGCAGCTCGGACTCCTGCTCTCAGAGAAGGTCCAGTCAGGAGGGTTCCTCCTCCGCCGTGGCTCTGCACGCTGCTGCAATAAGGCGTCTCCGCTCCTGCCTCCTCCACTTGGACTCGTAATGACAGTGCGGCTCTGCCTCCTCCCCTCCTCCTCGCCCCTCCCCCCTCCCCCCTCACTCTTTGCAGTACCGCAGCCCTCTCTGTGCAGGATGGGGGGGCTGGACGACACTGCGGTACACTGTGTGATGCTTACATAGTGTTGAATCGACTCTTTCCTCCCTGGCCTGGGAATCTCCCAGCTCTCCCCCCTCCTCCTCCTCCTCCTTCCCTCTTCTCCCCTTTCTACTCACATCCTCCCGGATCACGTTTCTCCTCCTTTCTCGTCGACCTGCTTCTTCATCCTCAGCTGCTCTTCTCTCACAGGTGAAAGGAGTGAAGTGACGCAGGAGGAGATCACGTGGACACACAGGTGAGAACAGGAACATGTTAGAACAACAACAACAACAACAACAACAACAACAACGTGATGATGTGTTGAAGGAGCTCCCAGCTGCAGTACTCCTGATCATATTACCTCAGTGTTTGTCAAACTTTTTCACTTCAGGCACCAAATATTTGTCACTCTACTCCAAGTACTACCTGCAGTACACGACCCACATCACCACACAGTAACACGGGCCTGCACCGTTCACTAGTCTGAGGCTAGGACTCAGAATCAAGGTCACTTCTCAGAAACGTCACATCCGTTAAATAACATCTTCTCATTTAAGGTGGTTTACAGTAAACACTGGTCAATTATACAGAGGTTCAAGTCCGAATAGAAGAAGAAAAAGATGCATATTTCATTTCACGATACGTATCGAGATTCTACAGCACCGTATCGCATATTTCATTTCACGATACGTATCGACATTCTACAGCACCGTATCATGTTTTTTTATCACCAATTCCCAGTCCAATATTCCTGGTGTTGGTTCGTTTTCTTTTTCTTTTCTTTCTTCTCTAGTGATTCCAAATGGGTATCACTAGATTGGGGTGGAAGGGGAGACAACACACTTCAATATATCGTCATGACTGTAGTATTGTAATACTAATACTAATCCCAGAACCTGGATTTCCATCCTTCCTGGCTCCTGGTCTCCAGTGTTTAAATACTTATTTTTTTTGCCCCCACCTGTGTCTCACACACAGATGAACCTCCTCGACGATAAGTCTCAGTTTAAACTTGACGTTAATTTAATTTTCCTGCTTGGGTTAAGGACCAACGTCATGTTTGGAGTCAGAAGCTAAACAAAATCTCATACAATAATATTTCCTAAATTCATCTTAACGTTCTGTATTTAAAGGCTTTAACGTTTGTTTGCAGAAAACACTTTAATGTGAATTTTCACAGACAACTGATTAAATTAACTATAAAAAGTCAGACACGTGACACTGGAGTTCCACAGCTTTCTTCTTCTCCACGGTCCTGACCACGTGGTCCGGCCCAGTGGTGCGTGGGTCACGGCCCAGTTTTCAGCGATGTTTGCCGTAACGGTTGAACCGTCTGTAAAGATAACGGATCCTTTTTTCCAAGTTGTGTCTGTCCAGCGTCATCATCCTGTCTCCCACCATTTTCTTTTTCCGAATCAGTCGCTCAAGTTCGTTTCCTTTGAAACCTTTCAACCAGCAGGGGGCGATGATAAGGTCCTTGGGGTGAGCTTTAAAGTCTCCTGCAGAAAGAAAGGAAGATGATCGTTTCTGCAACGTCGGACGTTTCAAAGTTTCTCCGAGTAAAAAAAACAAAAAAAAAAAACAAGTCAATGTTCACACATTTCCCAGAGTTGTTGTTGTTAAAAAATATCAACCTCAAATTTTTCATAAAGTATTATTTAAAGCATTTCTCTGAATCTAAAGACAAGACACAATTACCATATTAAAATACCAACAAATCACAACTGTAATATTTTTATTATTTTGCAGTATTTTAGTAAATATTCTTCTAAATTCCAACTGAATATTTAATGTATTTATTTTGACTGTCTATATACAGTGTCAACACAGGTCAACACGGCTGACCTTCTACTCTGAACCACCAACTGAACCTTCTGATGTCCATGATTTGAACATGAATGAATGGGAAACTTGCCTAATATTCCAACATTATCATAAACTCCAAACATGGTCCTCTTCTCCGTCCACCTGTCCACCACCTTTGGCTGAGGGATGGCGTGCATCCTGATCAGACGGCACGTACCTGCAGAGAACAGTCACGGTAAACATGGTGCAAATACTCGGAGTATTACTTCATTCATGGATACGTCTGCACCCTCCAGGAATCAAAGCTTTACTAGTTATTATAAATATAATATTCACACACACATATATATATATACATACCCTTAACAAAAACATATAAATAAGTTATATATGACATATAAATAGACACGTTTTTCTGACAAACAAACCTAAAAGTTTCTGCAGGTCATTTGCTCTGTATGAAAGTACCAGGGAAATACTGTACTGTACTGTACAAACAGTTCCTTCATGGACGACTGTTTCAGTTTAAAGTGAATTGTGACGATGAACTAAAATATTTTATCATATCAGTACAATTATGGACACTGTCGGTGTTTGTTTATTTGAGTATTTATTTTTCAGAGCTCACCGGTAGAAACGGACCGGGCTGTTTGTGCCAAGGTCCCCGCTGACTGACAGAAGGACACTCCGGCCTTCAGCAGCCCTCCGAGAACAGACATGTCCGAGGCTTTCTGGGAAAATATCACGACAATGTGACCGTGTGAAGTTAATATAACACAAATGAATCTTCTTTACGAATTTTCACAATAGTTTAAATTTGTCAACTCCAACTATTTAGCTATATTAGCATTAGCTTCTGCTAGTGGCCGTTAGTTAATATATACACAGTCAATATAATAAACGTTACCGGTTCAGACGTCGGTCGCCACCGTAATAACAGTCACGTCCTTTGTCTCTTCAGCTGCTCGGCTCTACGTGTGAATGTGTGTGTCAAATACCGCTTTGAAATTAAAACTAATGTGGAGCTCAGTTGCTGTCCTCCATTAGCATGTGGCCCACAATGCACAGCGACACCGATGGCGTACTTCCTGGAATGGATCGCGCGATGTTTCAGGTTTCTCCCAGCAGAGGGAGCCAGTTAGCAGTAGATTTAGGGGGGGTATCATGTCATTTTTTATCAGTTTTATGCCTTTAAATAAACTAGTGCTAGAGTTAAAACTGCACTTTAAGAAAGAATATAATTATGATGCAATTGGATGAAATATTCATTTTTGACTTAATTTCATGTTTTTTCATGATCTTTTATCTTCACTTTTTGTCTAAGTGTTTTTCCCGGATTTGTGCGTGTTTTCTCTGGGTGCTCTGTTTTAATCCAAATCTGGAGCCAGACCCGCTGGTAGATTAGGTTAATTCATCGTAAACTGACCAGAGGACTGTCCAGGGTTTAGGCTCGGACCCTGTGACGTATTAAACCATATGAAGAATATGTAAGACTTGACTGACAAACGTTAACGGTGCATTAAAAACTCCTGCAAACAAACACCAGTGGAGCCGGACTTTAACATTAATGTCGGGAAATAGATGCAAAAAAATTAAACTCAAAAGTCATTTGTTGAGATGTTTATCACCGAACCATCTCTCACTCTCTCATATACACACACACACACCGAAGTCACACACAACTCTATACTTTCAGTCTGACTGTTTTGAGGTGATGGGTGGAATATTTATCTTTTTCAAAGAAACTGTGGCTGTTTCAGATGTTCGATCTTAGTCGTGAGCGGGTGGAACCAGATTAATCATTATCTAACATACTGTTTCTGTTTCTGTTCAACATTATCACGATGTCCAAGTGGTTTTTTAATTTTTCAGCAAAAACATATTTATAAGCGCTGTATATTTATATATTCTTATATTTATAAAAGCTGTCCAATGAGACCCAGTTAATAAGACTGCAAATAAATGACTAGTAATGAAGGAGGAGGAGGAGGAGGAGGAGGAGGAGGAGGAGGTCTGCTGGTCTTCGTCTTCACCATCAGGTTCTGACTCCGTCTTCACAACAGCGGTCATGTTCCTCAGCTCTTCACTTCCTGTGCCAGTAAAACACAGTGGAAGAACAGAACAACAGTACTCGTTGTCACCTACACATGCAGAACTCGGTGGGTGATTTATCACTTCTATATTTAATGGGGAAATCAAGCGGATTTATTATTTATGAACCTATCAGTTTGAGTGAGTCAGCAGAACGAGTGACCCTGGAAAAAACGGACCCGTCTCTCTGTCCTTCACTGCATCAGTGAGAAGAACGGCACCAGAACAGATGAGTCACGTGATGTTGGTACTTTGTACAGAAGACACGGGACCACCCTCTGAGCCTCCCCTCTTCTCCCCCCTCCTCCTCCTCCCCCCAGTCATCAGTAATCTACATCCTCGACAGTTTCCATGTGAGGGGACTATTTTTTTTTTCCGATATTCAGATGCAGTGGCAGTGACTAAACACCAGGAGTGGGAGGGGGGCCCTCAGAGAGGAGTCCCTCAGTGAGAGTGATGCACATTAACCATCACCTCCACCCACCACACCCTCCTCTCCCCACCAACACTAAACCTGAAAAATCTGAAGATTTTGACACGAAAGGAAATCCAAGATAAGAGAAAAAAAAGATGAAAAGACGACGTTTACGCTGTCACTCATTCAAAGGCCAATTAATGTTGTATATAATTAATGTAATATTATAAAATAATAATATATATTATATTATATTATTAATTAAAAAATAGATTTCTTCCTCCATCTCTGCTGTTTCTATTCATCTGTCAGCAAGTGGATGAAAGATGCATAGAATATATATATATATATATATATATATATATAAACATGCATATATATAAAGTATATATCTGCCAGGATTAATTAGTTGTTTTTTAAATAACCCAATTTAAGTTGAAAATCCCTGAACTTATACCAAAAATACACAGTGGTAGAACTAGTTGTTAACGTCTTGTTTAAACTTCTCTCCTCAGCAGCAGCAGCTCTGTCTGACTGACCTGAAGTCTTGACCTTTTACTGATTTTTGATTTGATTTTTTTTTTTTTTTTTTTTTTTTTTTGTGTGAAGCTGTTTTGAACTGTTTTCATTCTGTCAGAACTGAACTGACGACAACGAAAAGAAAAGGTGAACGGAGGAGATGATTCACTGTCATGAGCTCCAGGCTGAGTTTCTGACACGGTTCTGTTCTCACCAGAGATACTGCTGCTGCTGCTGTTGCTGCTGCTGATGCTGCTGCTGCTGATGCTGAGGGCTGTGGTGACTGACTGGCAGTGACAGTGGAGCGTTACGTTCGTCTCAGTTTCAAGGCAACGAGCACAACTTCTGTAAATGACACGGAAGATCAAGGTCAACACGGAGAATTCACTGCATCATCAGAAAGTCAGACCAAAGAACTGAGGTGTTTTTCTCTATTGAATAAAAATCGTACACTTCCGAAAAATGTAATAATAAGAAGAAGTAAGACCCAGAGGCCTGGAGAGGGAGCAGTTCTGGTTCTCTTTTAATCTACGGTATGAACAAATAACAACAGGTTCAAAAGTCTACGACATCACAGTTCACACCAACAGACAACAACCATTCACACTCACATTCACACTCACATTCACACTCACATTCACACCTCGAGGCAACTCAAAGTGAAGAATTGCGTGAACTAAGTAAGGCGAGTTAGCACAGGGAATTGAACCTATGACCTTGTTTCTGTGAGTCTACTTTTGCTGCACTTGACCCACTACAGCGCCCCACTTTTTTATAAAATAGGCTGTTGTTGAGCCCCCGCCCCACGTCGACACGATCACTACTGCTACTGCTTAAAATTCAATATAACTTTTTAAAAAATTTTTTAAAAGACTTCAAAAATTTGCGCAATTTTCTCTCAATGAATTTCCCTTGGTGCAAGACCCTGTGACCCATGAAGGGACCCGCCCCCCATGTTGGGAACCATTGCTGTAATGCAAGAGCTACAGCCTCACATTGGTGACATTTTAGGTGAATCCGTCTTCCTGCAGGTGTCGATGTGAACCACAGTACACACAGGAAACTGCAGTAGTACTTCAAAGTAGTCGGGTCGTAAACTACCAGCAGTATTCACCTGACAGTCATTCTTGTTGTTGTTGTTGTTGTTGTTGTTGAAATCCGTGAAGAGCCTGACGTGAAGAGAATCCGTGGGAGGAAGTGACTCTCACCGCGTCAGTCTTCACGCTGACATTTTTCCAGGTTAACGAGATCAGACCACTTCAAAGGCTCAGTCTGCTATCAGAAGTCACGTGACCAACTGAGGATCTACCAACCACGGAGCCTCATTACCACCCACAGCTCGAGTGTATAAATACACCGTCAGAAACATCCCAACACTCACACACACAGAAACATGTCGTCTCAGAGAACTTTCTGGATTAGCGTCCGCAGGAACCTCATGTTCTCCACGTCGCTCATCTTTATTTTCAACACTTTTCTCGCCTCAGGTATTTTATTTTGATTTTTTAAACTAAATTAATTGAAACTCTGGGAAAACTACAATCTTAGAAGTTGGTTTTTTTTCTTCTTCTTCCAGGGGCAGATTCTGTGGCAACAGAGGTGTTTGCACCGACGGGTTCTGATGCAGTTCTACCCTGTCAGTCCACGTCCAGTCCTCTGTCCACCGTCATCTGGAAGAAAGACAACAGAGGGTGAGGAGTTCTCTTTGACCCACTCTGATGAAACGTCTCTCATGTATTTATTACTAAGGTGTGAAAGTACTCTGTCACTGAGGAGTTTTACTGCATTCTTTGGATATGTATATTTATTTTTATATATTTTTATTCTATTTTTTTTTCAAATTTCTCATCTTTATGTTGTTTGATGTCAGATGCACTTTTTTTCCCGCCACTGACGCGGCTCTGTGTTCCCCTCAGAACTGTGTGGAGAAAGCAGAGGAGCGGGCTCCAGTACTGGGGCGCCAGCTGGACACAGAAGGGCGTCTATCGTGCTCACTGCCCCCACCCTCAGTTCATGAAGGGGGACTACAGCCTGCTGATCTCCAGGGTGGTGCCGGAGGACGGAGGTGTTTACTTCTGCAGCGTGGAGCACCTCGGCCTCACCACCACCGTCACCGTCACACTGAGAGTCATGGCCGGTAAGAACTGGAACACAGACACAACTCTGGGTCGGACCCAAATGTTCCACAGGTCAAAGGTCAGCTGTGCTGACCGGTAAAATCATGGTATCAATAATATTTTCAGGAAAGACTCAAAAATATGAAAAATCAGACTTAAAATAGATTTTAAAGTTTGCAATGAAAAAACACCCAATTAATATATTTGCAAAGTACACAGTAATAATATGTTTTAATAATTTTTAATGTATTTAAAAAAAAATGTAGAAATGATCATGCATAGAATTAAATCCTTACAAAGTTTTAAAAACTGCTACAGTATTTACTAGCTGTGTATATGCTGAAAATTTGGAAAAATAAAATTTTAAAAATAAGGTTTTAGAGAAAGAAAAAAGTATTTGTCACTAGATTTAAATTCAATTAACAAAATATTTATATAAAAATTTTAATGCATTATATTCTATGCATGTGTGTTTTTATGTGTATATCTCTACTTCAAAAAAATGAAAACAATTTTTAGTGTAGCAAAAAAATGAGGGTCATGGACCTGGGGCAGGTCGGTGTCGTGTCTTATATGTCCCGCTGACCCTGATGTATTTATACATGTATTTATACATGTATTTCTAATGCGTACTCACACGACTAACGACCTGTCCGTCATTTTCCGTCCCAGTGTCCATCTTTCCATCCGTCCCCATCCCGGGGGGGAAGGTTTCAGTCACCTGTGATGTGACTCCGTGGCCTGTAGGGGCGTCGGTGCAGTGGATGTTAAACAACCAGTCATATTCCCCTCCGAGTGTCAGCACGTCAAACAAAAACACCATGGTCATGCAGCAGGTGGCGATGAAGCTGACGGGAACCTGGACCTGTGTGCTGGGCTACAAGGGCAGAGAAGGTCGCGTCTCGGCCGACCTGTCAGTCAAAGGTGAGGGATCGGAGAA